TGTGCATATTTTCACCCATTCCTCACAGGACCTCTCAAGCACTCATCATTGTGCATGTGAAGACAGTGAAGCTCAGACAGTCTGGGACCTGGCCATCGTCACCCTGCTCATGACCTGGAGAGCCAGGGTTCAACCACAGTTGTTTCCCTCTCCCAAGCCCGCTGAAACCGCATTTTCCCAAGTTTAAAGATGGACTGACCATGTCCCAGTATTACTGGTGTTCTGAAAGGACCCTGACTTATGGAGGGGCCTTTCTCCGAGGTTGTATCTGCAAACCACTGCTGTAACACACAGAAACACATATCAGTTCAGAGGTTCTTATTTGTTCAAGTGCGCGCAACACGTAGAACTTTTGAAGACCTGTATCTCCCCTTCTCCTGCTTTGGTCAATTACAGGAAGCTGACTGTCTAAGAGGGGTGAAATGCCCCTTCCTGCAGCCCCAGTCTGGCCTGCGCCAGTGGAGCGTCGCCACCTACTGGCTGTTCCCTTGAACTACATCAGAAAGCCTTCTTATTTGTTCAAGAGCTCGCACCACGTAGAACTTTTGAAGACCTATATCTCCCCTTCTCCTGCTTTGGTCAATTACAGGAAGCTGACTGTCTAAGAGGGGTGAAATGCCCCTTCCTGCAGCCCCAGTCTGGCCTGCGCCAGTGGAGCGTCGCCACCTACTGGCTGTTCCCTTGAACTACATCAGAAAGCCTAAGTATAGCTCAGAGCCCCAGTCACCTGGACACAGCAGGTGTTGGTAAAGGGAAGAGAAGAAAGAGAAGGAAGGTCCTTGGGCTCAGGAAGAGAGTGGGGGAGTGGAGCCTCTGCTTTAGCAATTTCACTTGATTCTTAGGTTGATATGGTCTAATTTTATTCCTTGACATCAAAGAAATGCTGGCCCAGCACTGCATCCTCGAACTGAAGTAACAAGCAAGTGACATGTTATTATGGTTTTGTCTCTTACATATATGTTATGATTTTATTGTATACTAGAGGCCCGGTGCACAAAAATTTGTGCACTCGGGGGAGAGAGGGGTCCCTCAGCCCGGCCTGTGCCCTCTCGCAGCCTGGGACTCCTCGGGAGATAACGACCTGCTGGCTTAGGCCTGCTCCAGGGTGGCAGAGGGCAGGCCCAATCCCTAGGTGCAGCTCCTGGTCGCGCTCATAGTAGGGCCGATTGGGGAGTTGGGGCGCCTTCCCCTGTCATGCACAGAGAAGGGCAGATTGGGAGGTTGTGATGTCACCCTCAGTCATGCTCAGGGTAGGGCCGATTGGGGGGTTGGGGCACCGCCCCCTGTCACACTCAGGGCAGGGTTGATAGGGAGGTTATGGCTCTACCCCATCACACACAGAGCAGGGCCCGTGGGGGGCGGTTGGGGCGCTGCCCTCTGTCACCCACAGAGCAGGGCCAATCAGGGGGTTGGGGCGCCTTCTCCTGTCACGAACAGATTAGGGCAGATAGGGAGGTTGTGGCCCCGCCCCCTGTCACACACAGAGCCGCAGGGCGATCAGGGGGTTTGGGCACTGCCCCCTGTCAAGCAGGTTTCTGGGCTTTTGTTTAGCTTCTATATTTGAAACACAGTTGCTTAGAGTTGCAACTCAGAGGCCGGCAGCGGCAGGCGGGGAATGTTGGAGTCCTCTGTCACTAAAGCAAGCAAGCCTCATGTTCGCTTTAAGCTGCCTGGCTGCCGGCCGCCTTCTTGGCTGGCAGTTAATTTGCATATTGCCCTGATTAGCCAATGGGAAGGGTAGAGGTTGTACACTAATTACCATGTTTCTCTTTTATTAGATAGGATGATGTGAAATAAGGATCATGTTTTGTTTTCAAAGATATGCTTTTCCATTGTTTCTAATACTATTTGTTGAAAATAATCTTCCTCTATTGGATTGCCTTAACTTCTCTGTCAAAAGTCAATTGTATTTATAATTGTGAAGATATTCTCAACTCTCTGTGTTGTGTTCCATTGATCTCCATTTTAATGAAACACCACCATGCTCAGATTATTGCTGTTCAACAGTAAATCTTGGCACTAGGTAGTGTAAATCCTGCAACTTTATACTTTTTCAAAAGTGTTTTCCCTATCCTCAGCCTTTTACATTTCTACATAAACTAGGGGCCCAGTGCACAGATTCATGCACCTTGAAAGAAACTGTGGGCCACGAGGCTGTGGTGGGCACAGGGGTGGGTTTCTGCCCATCCTCCACACCCCTGCCTGACCCCTCCTGCTGCAGCCCCAGACCCCTGTCTGCCTGCAGCCCCCACTCCCGCCACTGCTGCTCCTACCTGCTGATGGCATTGGCCCTGCTTGTACCAGCTGACAGTGCAGAGCGGTGGCACCAACAGCAGGTGAGAGGGGGCTGGCAACGTCACCAGGTGCAAGTGGCAGTTGCTGCCCTGATCGCCCCTCAGAAGCAGGAGGAAGTGGAGAAGCCCTGAGGGGTGATTGGGGCCAGGGCCGGGCACTGGCATTGGGTGCAAGTGGCAGCTCTGGCACTGGCAGTGGGTGTGAGTGGGGCTGACACCAGCAACAGGTGAGAACACCGGGCGGGACAGCAGCACACAGGAGCAAAGAATATTTGGTAACCACCAGAGGATCACCCCTATGACAACAACTGGCGCCCCACCTTGGTCAGGCACCCCCGCTCACCTGCTCCACCATCCCGCCACAGCCAACGCCCACCATGTTATGCATGCGCCCGCTGGTGGACAGCACACATCATAGCAACCAGTTGTTTGGTTTTCCGCAGTTCAATCTATTTGCATATTAGGGTTTTTTATATATAGGTGTTTGAATTATCTGTCTGTTTTTTTAAACGAAGTCCTGCTATGACTTTATTGGTAGGCACTGAATCTCTAGATCAGTTTGGTAGAGTTGACAGTTAGAAATATTGAGTCTTCAAATCTGTGAGCATAGTATGTATATCTCTTCATTTATTTATGTATGTATATATTCTTTAATTTCTTTTGTAGCTTTCAGTGTACAGATCTCGTATATCTTTTACAAATTTATCCCTAAGTACTTAATATTTCTACAAAGAAGATATACAAATGGCCAACAAGCAAATGAAAAGATATTCAATATCGTTAATCATTAGGTAAGTGCAAAGTAAAGATATAATGAGACCACTTCACACTCACTAGGATAGCTATAATTTTAAAAAATGAAAATAGCAACTGTTAGAGGGGATGTGTAAAACTGGATCCATCAAACGTTACTAGCAAGAATGAGAAATGGTGCAGCCTTTATGTAAAACAACTTGATGGTTCCTCAATAAGTTAAACATGGAATTGCCATGTAATATAGTAATTCCACTCCTCAATATAAATCCAAAAATTTGAAATCAGGTGTTTAAACAAAACTTGTACATGAATAGTAGCACTATTTAAAATGTCCAAAAGGTGCCGTAACCGGTTTGGCTCAGTGGATAGAGCGTCAGCCTGCGGACTTAAAGGTCCTTGGTTCGATTCTGGTCAAGGGCATGTACCTTGGTTGCGGGCACATCTCCAGTAGGGAGTGTGCAGGAGGCAGCTGATCGATGTTTCTCTCTCATCGATGTTTCTAACTGTCTCTCTCCCTTCCTCTCTGTAAAAAATCAATAAAAGATATTAAAAATAAATAAATAAAATGTCCAAAATGTACAAACAACACAAATGTCCACCAACATATGAATGGATACACAAATGTGGTATATTCATACAATGGAATATAATTCAGCCATAAAAAATGAACGAAATAGTGATATATGCATCAATGTAGATGAACCTCCAAAACATTATGCTAAGTCAAAGAAGCCAGATATAAAAGGCCAAATATCATATGACTCCATTTTTATGAAATATCCAGAATAAGCATAAACTTAAAGACAGAAAGTATGTTTATGTTTTCCAAGGGCTGGGGTAGGGAATTAATGGAGAGTGACCATTTAATGGGTATGGAATTTATATTTGGGGTGATTGAAATATTCTGGAATTAGGTAGTGGTTATGGTTGCACTCTACTTCATGCCACTGAATTATATACTTAAAAATGGTTAAATGGCAATTTTTATATGTATTTTGCCACAATAAAAATCAAGGATTTTATAGTGTCTCAAACTGTTTCATTGATCTATATACCTATCCTGCACTAATACCACATTGTGTTAATTACTGCAGTTTTATAGTAAGTTTTGAAATAGGTATAAGTTTTCAACTTAATTTTGTTTTTCAAAATATTTTGGCTATTTAAGGTAATATACATTTCCACATACATTTTAGGATCAGCTTGTCAATTTCTATAGAAAAGTAAGCTGAGATATTGATAGATGTTGTGACAACATACAGATAAATTTGGGGAAGATTGCCATCTTGACAATATTGAGTTACCCAATCCATGAAATGTCCTTGTTAATAGCTTATTTAAATCTTCCTAGAAATGTTTTGTAGTTTTTAGTATTCAGGTTTTGTGCATAGTTTATAATACTTATGCCTAAGTGTTTTATTCTTTTTTTAAAGAATCGCTTACTGATTTGTAGTGAGAGAGAGGAAGGGAGAAGAGAGAAACATGGATGTGAAAGCGTAACATCAATCTGCTGCCTCCTGCACGCACCCTACCAGGGATGCGCCCTCAATCTGTGTTTGTGCCCTGACCCAGAATCAAACCAGCAACCTTTCAATGCATGGGATGACACCCAACCAACTGGGCCACATAAGTGTTTTATTCTTTATAAGGCTATTGTGACAAATTATTTTCTTAATTTCATTTTTGGAATTTTTGTCACCAGTATACAGAAATAAAATCAACATTTTACTATTGATCATGTGCTTCCTGGCCTTGCTAAATTTCTTTATGGATCTAGCAGCTTTTTTGTGTACGTGCATTTCTTGGGATTTTCTACATATAGGATCATCTGTGAATAAAGAAATTTTTATTTATTCCTTTTCAATAAGAATGGTTTTATTTTAGTGGATGGGGGCACTTATTCCACTGGCTAGAACCTCCAAAACAATGCTGAATAGAAAAGGTGAAAGTGGACATCCTGCATAGTTCCCAATATTAGGGAAAATATTCATTCTTTCACCATTAATTATTATGCACACTGGGAGTTTATGTAGACAATTTTTATTAGGTTGAGGACATTCCTTTCTAGTCTAAATTTATTGAACATTTTTTTATAATGAGTGGGTGTTGGATTATGTCAAATATGTTTTCTGTCAAATCTGTTTTATACATTTATTGCAATGGACATCTCCGTCTCCCCTCCTGCCCCCGGCAGTAATAATGTAGATAAAGGTGTGTTGTTTCCACCATTTGGCCATTTTGAATAATGACACTGTGTACATTCATGTACAAGTTTTATTTGAAAACCTAATTTCATTTTGGGGGTGCATATCTAAGAGGGGAATTACTAGATCACACGGTAAGTCTAAGTTTAACTTATTGAGAAATCATATTTATTGATTTTCAGATGTTAAACTAACTTTGAACCTGGGCTAAATTCCACTTGGTTATGGTATGTATCTCTAAGGTGTTTGCACCAGGTCTTGCCTGGTCTCTCTACTTTGCATTCGAGAATGCTGTCTATGAGGCAGAAAAAACGGAATCCTAGTGTTGGTGGTGTGGAGCGACCAGCCTCTTCTAGGGTTGCAGCCCTGCTTAAAAAGCTGCACCTCCCATCCTCTCAGTGACCTTACAGAGAAACCCCTCTATCTCCTGAAGCGCAGACAGGGCCCAGACCCCAGCCCACTGACCACCATATTTGTGCCTTTCCCAATGATGGGAGGAGCCAAGACAGCCCTGGCCACTACCCATTAGTGGCCCAGGGTCCCACCCTCCTGCTGCACCCTCATTGGCCAGACCTTGATGGTCACAGACCCTGCAGGAGAGGCACTAAGAGGTAGGGAGTGTGCATTGGGTTTTCTGGTGATTAGATCAAAGTTGTGCATTATTTGGAAGAATGCCTCAGAGATGATGCTCCTCAGTGCGTGATCTCAGGGAGTACATGATATCACTCTGTGTGACTAGGCTGCAGAGAATATTAACATGGT